GATTTAGGTAGGCACAGTGTTGCAGTACTGCCATTGGGACTAAAAAGTTTCTCACAAATCCCAGGACAGATAATTTGTATATCAATGCCATACGATCTTGAGAAAAAATGTGAATAAAAACTTTTATTTTAATTACAACTGAGCCTACTTGTGCAACTACTGTATTGATAATAAACATTCAATCAAAATTGTTTACCAAAAAAAAACCATTGCTGAACAATCAGACTATCTTCTAGATTATTGTACAGACAATGAGTAGTGTTCAATAGGTGAGGATGTCAGTAATTTGACCGCTATATGGTTACAGGTGCAAGTGACAATATTGTTTGCATACTTCAAATACTCGGCCATTAGACAAGTAGGTCCTGGCACATCTCAATATAGAGGTCCATGCTCCAATCTGAAGATCAAAGTAACCATGAGAATAAAAACTGGTTTGCATTAATATGTAGTCGTTTCAGTATAAATCACATGCTTGTGTCGCATTGGGATATACAGTATTCGCTCCATTAGTAACACATGTAAACTACGGGCTAAGGTCAGTCATATGTAAATGTACATGTGAATTCAGTTTTCGGTTTACGCACACTTAAAGTGCGGTAGTCGTCGCGCTGCGCATGTGCGAGATATATGGGTCTCAAATAAACAAAGTTGGCGACTTTGACTGTTGCGCAGATCAACGAGTACGAACTGAGACGTTTCCAAGTTTTAATTAAGTAATTTTCATGTTATTGGAAGGCATCGAAGGAGTCACCATTGGTAATCAGTGCAAGTTGCACCCAGGTCAAACCTCATACTTGTGATTTCCATTTGAAGAGTGCAATGTATTGTGGGAAAATCAATGTTTATCAACACAAATGTAGCACATGCGCAGCGCGAAAGCACAATACCTCTAATTCAGCACTTCAATGAATTCAAAACTCGATAAATGCCACTTATATGATATGCGGATAACATTGGTACCCTAACCACTTTCAAGGTTTTATAGTCCTACTGATTGATCACATTTTACTACAATCTCAAATTCTACACATGTGACACAAAGTATTTATTTTAAAAAAAAAATGTGTTACTTACCAAAAAAATATACCACAAGGTTGTAGCTGCAAATAAGACATGTGTATCAACTGTCCTCTGGTGATGCTCATTAAAATAAGGTTGATGGTTTGTTACTTTGTCTGATTTCAAAATCCAATTCAAATCGTATATGATTTCTTGTGTTCGACTACATTGTATGCATACAATTTTATTACAAGAGTTTCAATTTGAGAGAATTTGATTTTCCTGAATAGGAAATTAAAAAATTTGCCAGCAATGAAAGTAACTAAAAGATTAAATTTCAAAAGACTGAACATTAAACTTATTTAAATAAGGTTGCAGTTGATTTGACCAGTCCACTATAATATTTTATCAAATAATTTTTAGATCAATTATTGCATCAAACAGAGCTTTACCATACTACATATCTACTGGTAGTATAGAATGACTATATCTGTTAGATCTCTCCATGCTGCAAAAGCTGATAATATGTACAGGTGTATCTAAAAGTCTTCTCAGTCACTGCTTAATTATATAATATGTATCTACAGAGCAACAATAAAATAACTGCAACATTGCCAATGGAGGGTTTGACAGCGCCAACTAATCGATCAATAGTAGGGCTCCAGGATATGACACATGCTCAGATCCCTTGGGTGGGGAATTTGACACTGATGAAAAAATTCCACACACACTTGTATCCCATACTTGTGGTAAACTATTGGGAGGCACATTAATGAGTTAAACAATTACATTGTGACCATAATGAAATTGACTTTATTAAAAACTTAAGTTAATACTACAAAACAAAATAAAATAACTACATGAATAAAAACAGGTCATCAGATAGCATTTTTACAAGAAAGGAATACAGATAATTAAACAAGCAAATTGTGGTACACAATCGTAATAGTTTACATCAGACAATGGATTCTAGGCAATACATAATAGTGTTTATATTAGTTGATAGGTACATTGCTTGCAACAAAGAGGCAAACTAATTTTAATGCAAACAATATATAACTACCAAAACCATGTTTTTTTTCATCCAAAATGAAGGAAGAACAATTTGCAGAGATAAGACATGCATGTTTAGTTATTTTAATATCATGTGAACTAACACATGTTTTTCACAGATTTAATGTATCACAGATTACATGTTGTCCTCATTTCTTGGCCGTAGACACATCCTCCATTCTTATTCACCAAAGTTCTCTAATAAGATAGATACCATGTTAGTATTAACATATAATGGAGTCTTCATTAAGACTTACCTGACCCCCCCACCTGATTCTTCACTAATACTACAAACAGGAAATGCATGTGTTACCTATTTTAATATCATTTAATTTAAAGAACTGTATACATCATATATCATCATAGCACACAACCAGTAGCAAAGTAACAACACATACCAGAATGAAGTCATTTAGTACTTCAATCATTACTATCTCAGACACCAGCCATCCTCCACCACAATCATCAAGCCTTATTGTGGGCATCTTCAAAGCTGTGCCTGATTGGCTACCAAATTCAAACAATTCCGTCATGTATACATGTTTCGACTCTTCTGGCATCTTCTATGGCCAAGTTCAGTTGTTGCTGCATGTCATTCAAATCATGCAATAAGCAGTGCCAAGGAGATAACTGAGATACCTAAATGACAAGTTGACACTGCCAACACCAATTTACTCCTGGCCTATGGGCAGCTCACAAACTGTTGGATTCTGCATTCAATAGATCTTCAATTTCATTACAATCAATACAGGATTCGAGTCCTATCCTTTAATAAAAATTTGTTTTTCAGTGTCTTGAGATAACAAGTTTTCAAGAGCAGGCTTTCTTGAATTTATTACAAATTGGTGTTCTGAACTAAATGCTTAAAATGCCACTCACTTAAAATATAATTGTGTTCTGTTCTGTTCTGTAATGTAATGTACAATGATGGATAGAAGTCTAAAGATTGCACAGGGGAACAGCAATTACTCCAGGATTGCGTTTGTGTCATCGCATTGGGCTGCCTCAAGATTTTGTTTGACTGTGATGAGAAGTCACAGCTGGGGCATCTCAGGACAGTTTTTACCACCCCTGCTTGTTGTGCAGGGGAAATCTATAGGCAAAAAGGTTTAGGTGATTTAGCCAATTTTATATGTCAAACTCCAAAGGTTTAGCAATTTACCAAACCTGCTGACCAGAAAAAACTTGATGTCCACTTTAAAGGCATTAACTATTCACTGGATTTTAATTTCTCTATTGAGTAAAAAACAGCAAATTAAATCAATTTAAACATAAATGTAACAACAGAACTTGTTGTTCCATGGGCCAATCAGTGAATTTTAAAATATTAAATTCCAGTGAGAATTTATGCTTTGACAGTACCCGGCCTCTCTGTAAATCCCAAGCAATGAACACAGAATTAGAGATCAACTCGCAGTACAAGTTACAATATTTGATTGGTATCTACACAGGATTAACTTCAACACAGTAAAAAACTCAAACTAACAGATTGTAATGAAATTGTAAATCTATGCCAAACAACATACTTAGCAACTTGTCTGTGGTTATAAAAATTACATCACATCAAGTGGCAACAAAGATACATATGGAATTTACATTTGGGTTCAGAGATCAGAGTTCTCAACAGCTGTATTTCATATCATAGAAATGATGACCAGACAAGGTGGTAAGTAAGCATAATCAGCACATGGCCATAATTATGAAGATCTTCTTATACTATAGCATGGATACCAATCAACTCTGGGATGATCGTTCCTTTGGTAGACCAAAGATTGACATCTTTGAACAATAAAATGCATGTACCACAGCTGGCAGAGTATACAGTAAATCCACATACAGTCAAGCATCCATTGAGAAGTCTGTGCCTATTGTCACCTTGAATCTTAATACTTTCCCTTCGGTCTCCAAATATTACCAATGCCTGCAATCAATATAATCAACAGCATATTACTTTCCAATGCATTTCAATTATTGATCACATAACATTCATAGTCAAATCTACAATAGATCCCAATTTGTGTGAAATCCAGAATTAGAGATGCATCTTGCCAAACACAAAAAATTGTAACATTAAAGTAACAGCCATTTCCAAAATCTAAAGTTAAAATCAACTTTATTGTGTCAAGTATGGAAAGTAAACTGGTATCGTTCAAAATATCAGATAAAAGGGGAGCACATGGTAAGTGTTGGCACTTGGGGCAAATGTAAAGGAAAGGCACAATAGGCATACTCTTATCAATAAAACCCTCGACTAAAAAATAACAAAACACAATTGTGTAACTTTAATGACATCTTTAATATTATTGATAAATCAACAAAAATACATATAAATGGGAATATAACATTTATTTCTGAACAATGGAGCTCTGAAATATTTGAAAATTATCTACACCTTTGTCTCAGGCAATTAAAGTTGAAAAGTAGAAAACATTTGCCATGGACAACAAAAAACATGATTCATGCATTGACAGCAATAGCTTCAATAAGCCTTCCCATGGAGCCTTGCTTTATTTTAACTCTACTGACATGTGTCAGGCTTGTAATACAAAACTGGTTCCAAAAAAAATACTGTACAACCAACAAAGGAATTGTATTGCGCATCTCAACCAAATAAAAAATATACCTTTCTTCTCAAATACATACTAGAAACAGGTCAACTAAGGCTATACATGTAATTCTTATATACATCACCCTGTCAAGCCGTAAGACATGTTTTATTGTAAACAAAAACATCAAAGCAAATAATATAAAGAAGCAGCTACCATGTCTATAAAAAATGTCTGTTCACATGTAATGGCAGTACTTAGCTGGCTGAACAACTTTGCAATGGTCACGTATCAAATACAGATGAACTACAAGTATTGGACAAATTACAGTACATGGAAAATGAAAATACACATAAAGGCAAATTTTCTGTAGTAAAAACACAGTGTATTCTCCACCTTGTCCTCATGGTATATGTAGCTCACACAGTGAGACACTCAAACATTAAATGTTTTGTTATATTGTTAAAATACACACATCTTGTGACAATATATGCATGATGGTGTAATCTGGATCTAGACTTCATCTAGGATTTCCATGTCACTTCCAAAATGTATGCTGACAGCGCTATGGACACTATCATTGTCTGAACCTGCAACGAAAATAAACAAGGTCAATAAAGTGCATTTGTTTTGACAAACAGACTAAAAAGCTAATAAAACTACCATCATAATAAATCTAATTACTATCATAATTTATAGCCAGTATTGGTTTACAGAACCAGAAGCTGTTAATGGTATGATGGTGATGTATTAAGACATACACACACTATAACTAATGTATTATTACTGAGATGTAGTATTACCAATATCAGTAGTTGTCTACTGACCTGGTATACTATATTCTTAATTTATTATTAGATAACTCAGTTTAAAAAATTAGAAACAAAAACAAATTTCACAATACAATTTCTCAAACAGCTGATAAGAACATACGTAATTACATCTACATGTATATCATGTTTGGCATTACATTTTGACAACTTAATGACTTGTACCATGAAAATAAATGAAAATTATCTTTTTCTCGCATGATTTCTGTTTTTGGATGATAATAGACAGATGTAACATTTGCCATGTGATGTAGCATCGACAGCTTTAGCTAGAATTTTACACACACACAACAATATTGTTTCGACATAACTTTGGAAATCTGCCAAAAAATGAAACTGACACCCTAGGTACATCAAAGAAAAAACTAGGTACCGGTACTCTATGTTAATATTAATGCAAGTTTATTGATTGATTAAAGAAATGTTACAAGCTATATGCATTGTTTTTAAGCACTTTTTTTTTGCCATATATCTGTAGTTACGTAAAAAAAAATTTGCTTGATTTTTTTTTGCCTAAAAATTTAGAGTTCAAATTAAAAGCATGGAAATTTAAATCCTTGTTTGATT